AGTGTCTCATCTAATGAGGTGAAGGAGGTTGTAGAGAGATTTTATCAACAGTCAAACATGGAAAACGCCTCTACTGCTAATTCCTGTGGCGTCTAACTGCTGTAACTTATTTGAAACAAATGTTTTTTTTGTTTTTTTTTATTCAAAAATAAAAATCATTACAGATCATGCATGAATAAATGTCATCTGATAACCGAAATTACCTTATCATTTGAAACCTTTGTCACAAATCATTCAGGACAACGGCTTCTCCCCTTGTGTCTATCAATACTAAACTTAGAGGTGAAGCTTTTTTTACAAGAGAGACATTCAAAAAGCTTCTCACCAGTGTGAATTCTCATGTGACGAGTCAATTTACCTTTTTCGGTAAAGTTTTTATTACAAATTGTACAGGAGAAAGGCTTCTCACCTGTGTGAATTCTCATATGACGAGTCAATTTACCCTTTGCAGTAAACTTCTTGTTACAAATGGTACAGGAGAAAGGCCTCTCACCTGTGTGAATTCTCAGGTGAGAAGTCAAATTGTTCTTTTCAGTAAAGCTCTTGTTACAAATGGTACAAGAGAAAGGCCTCTCACCTGTGTGAATTCTCAGGTGAGAAGTCAAATTACTCTTTTCAGTAAAGCTCTTGTTACAAATGGTACAGGAGAAAAGTTTCTCACCTGTGTGAATTTTCATGTGACGAGCCAATCTACCCTTTGAAGTAAACTTCTTGTTACAAAACGTACAGGAGAAAGGCGTCTCACCTGTGTGAATTCTAATGTGTATAGCCAGTAAACTCCTTTTAGTAAACTTCTTGTTACAACTGGTACAGGGGAAAGGCTTCTCACCTGTGTGAATTTTGATGTGAGAAGTGAGATAACTCCTTTTAGTAAACTTCTTGTTACAAATCATACAGGAGAAAGGTTTCTCACCTTGATGAATTCTGATGTATGTATCAAGATTAGATTTCTCATTGAACATTTTTACACAGGACAGAGATTCAAAAGGCTTCTCACCTGTGTGAATTATCATGTGATCCATTAAATTTTCTTTTTTTATGAAGTTTTTTCCCCATGTTAAGCATGGGAAAGGTTTATCTCCTGTATCTTCAGTCTCCTGCTTTAGAACAAGCTGCTCTCCCTGCTTACTAATGGGGAGCTCCATGGTTTCCTCTTTTGTCCAGGGATTTTCTAGTTCTTTCTGCTCTTCTTTTATCTGCAGAGCTTCTGGTTCCTCTTGGTCCAAACTGGAATTCTTCTCCTGTTCACAGAGCTGCTGGTCAGAGAAATCCTCCTCTTTTCCAACATCATCCTGAAGGAAGTCTAGAAAGACAAACAGCAGAAAGAGTTTCTATTGTAGGTTAAAGACAGGACGCTTCATTTTAATCAACCTTGCATTGATCTAACTACATATAAACAGACTGGAATTACATAACCCAGACTGCACTTCAGCTCTGACACCACAACATAAGGTTATAACAGACTGATTGATTATCCATTATCTGGTGAGGTTTGGACCTCCACTTTTATCATCACAGCTTTAAAATCCGATTCCCTGCAGAATCCTAACCACTAAAGAAATGTTTAAACTATTTTTTTGATTATTTTTTTTTTGCTCAACTGTCGAGGATTATTATCTTTTTTTTTCCTTTTATTGATCTCATACTGGAGAACTACCTCTACATTTAACCCATCCCCTTGGGGAGCGGTCAGCTGTGCAATTGGCGGTTAAGGGTCTTACTCAGAGACCCAGAGTGGAGGCTGTGGGGATGGAACTGAATATTTGCAATATTTTCACAGCAGTGGAGTCACCAGCTCCACTGTGACCCTATGGATGAGCCCAAACAAGGGTATGAACACACATTTATCACAGAAGCCAAAATAAAAGGGAGGAGCCCTTCAGAAAGCCAGAGCTCCATTCCATTCTGGTCTGATCCAGCTCATTATCTAGCATTCTGCCTTCACTGGCCTCAGTGCAGAGCTAGACTGCAAACCTTCTCAGAGCTAGATTGTAAACAGACATAATGCAGCTCTTCTTAAGACACAATACGGGTAATAACTTCAGAAAAACAGGGTTAAGTTAACAT